GGTTAGTGGAAGTACCAATATTCCACCATAAATAGGCTTAAAGAAAAAAGTGAAACCTGGAGATATATACGAAATAATTGCGTACATCAACAAAAAAAAATTATAGGCTGTTTAAAAGGAATATGCTATATGTCGAGGGTGGCCCCATTAATTTTAATTTCATTGTCACACAGACTTATCGCACATCGCTGACAGTGTCATTTTCACAAGGATAGCAATTCAAGTGACATAGGATGTTCTGGTTGCCATACTGGAACTGGAATAAATTAAATCTATACAATATTATGTTGTATATATATCAGTGAATAACATCTTCACATCAAAATAGTGCACTTTTCTTGAAATTGCGTTAAAAAACAGATTCTGCCAGTTTCAGATACAAGAAGACATGAACGAGTTACAAGTAATTTTAAAATTTAGCAATATTAAACTAAATTAAATCTAAAGATAACTGGTCTTCCTACAGTAATGGAGCTTAATGATTCAATTCAACTGAACACTTTTATTAGTGGTGACCTAAAAGTGCCGTTTGAAGACAATTCACTTAGCATTTTCACATGTCGCGTAGAAAGCTTAATGTTAAAAATTAAGATTGCTGTTAATTTATAACATTGACAATTAATTAGGAGATTGCGATGTGCAATTGTGATAGAATATTTTTCAACAGAAATTGCCAATACGAACAAAATGTACGTAATCAAATTAAATGATGGTGGAGAAGTGATACAATGAAGTGATATTGGTAGAAAAACAAAGTGTTGAATAATAATAGTGATCGGAGACTAAAATAAACCCGTGAGTATACTGCAAGAGACTATCGTTATACATAAAAGCATTAAAACATTACATTAATATATACATTACATAAAACATTAACATTGTAACAATATCACCCAATTTCAATTTAACCACATAACAACAAAGTGACAAACCCAAGATCTTCTTACCAGACGAAAATAAGCGACAATTAAATGCGTTATCCGCTATATTCGTGTTCCATTAGTTAATTCTAACTGAGTCTCTTAACCCGAGAACACAGGACCCTGAAATGTAGCAGAGGTACGAATAAATTTGCATAAATACATACATAATTAATTCTACATCGAGCGCAGGTAGCGTACTAAAAATAAAGTTTACAAACAATTCTTTTTTTTCACTCCAGCATTCGACGTTGTGAAATAAATATTACAGTGCCTTATAAATCAGTTCTGTCAGAATTTTTTCACTTCTCGAAAGCCAGTGTGACTTTCCTTTGTTTGCGTTGATTTCATTAGAATAATTTTCGTTTTGTTTTCAAGTTATGTCTCTAAGTCGTTAGCTAAGTCTATATATAACAAATTATATTAATATGTATGTGTATTTAAATAAAAGTGAGTAGAAATTGTCAGTAAAATATTTTCTTAGATTATTGCGAATTTGATTGTATGTATAATGCTATTTTTTGTTTTGATTGTTTGTTCCCGTCGTTTACAATAGAAACGGTCACTAATAGGGAGCATAAGGTTGTTAATGTCACAAAATCATAGATATTACGAAGGTAGCAAAGAATAAGTAGCATCGAAGACACTGACAATTTTTTTGAAGTGAAACTTCTTTAGAATCGTTGTGATTTGAAACTCGATGAAACGGAAATGCAAAACTAAAACGGGACAAACACATAAATATATAGGATTGAGCCGAGCGAGAGAATGAGATAGAATATATTACGATTTTGCCATGGTAACCGTTGTTATTTGAGATAGAATACATTACACAGGAAGTGAAAAATAATAAAATTAATTACTGAATGATATGTAATGTATATTTATGTCGAATAAAATGTAAAATAACTTTTAAACTTGGTAAAAATATTATAAAAAAATAAATCTTATAATTATCCTACTCTTGATACTCTATATTTATCTCATTCTTTCGTAGGTTACTTTTCTGAAGTTTCACTTCTACCATGTGTGAATACCACTCACACGCACTTTATTTTGTTTAAAATGTTTGTTTGTAGTTTGTAACATACACATTGTCGAATTACCATCCTTTTTTAGGTAACTAGCATGTGGTTTTGAAAAGGCTTCTGACATATTGCAAGCAATGTATGATAAGTAACGGCTGTATGAATATATGAGATGATTATATTAATTAAAACAAATACTGCCAGTATATGTTTCATTTTATATCTGAGCGAGAGATAGTATATATATATATATATATATATATATATATATATATATATATAGACAACAAATAGATAGTCGTACACTATTTATCCTAGTCCTTGGTTGTTGGTTCTTAGTATATACCCCCACTTAGTATATACCGTAAAATATATACAGAATACCTGAAAATTCACGTAGACTGCTTCAAAAGGTGAAATGGTCAATGTCAATATTTGTCTTGATGTAAAGTGTTTATATTTCACTAAAAATCTTAGAATGTTTTTTTTTTTAAATATTACACTAACTCTGACAGTCAGTAATTGACTTTTAAATTAGTGTGATTATTCCTCCCTAAAATATGACGGAAGTTTTGGGCCTAATATACTATTAACTATTAAAAATATCAATTTATTATTGGCAAAGATATCACGTAACATACATATAAAAAAAATGCACCCTACATATCTTTTCGAAGCCCATCAAACCTAATATCTTATCTTATAATAATAATAAATGAACAATTCTTGTATAAATAATAATTTATTTCATGTATCTCGGAAACGTCTCTTATTCATTTGGATTAAATTTTGTAATTAGACAAGGTTTTGCTTTTCAGTTTATTCACATATTATATAGGTGGATTTTCTGTAAACACGCAATTTTTCACAAAAAAAGTTTTTTTTTGTAACTAATCCTATCTCTCTTCCTATCCTATCTGCTCTCATGCTAACAATATCATATAGTGCCATATCGTAAATGCTTGTGGTATTTGCATAGTCGTCAATGGATGATAGCCTGAACGAGCGCTTACGCTGAGCGAAACTCGGTCGCTCAGATATTTCCTATTAAAATTGCGCAACTATGTATGTTTCTAACATTTTTACTCTAAAAGAGATTTTTGATGAAAATAAATACACTCATATTTAATAACACATATTATGTTACTATTAGTAACAAAATCTGCCAAAAGATGGCTCTTTCTGTATATAAAATTTTAACACAAAATGCAACTAAAGATCCACTCGAACGAAGCGAGGGTGAGTCACTCATACCCAATATTGTTGATCGAAGTCAATTAGTATTCCATTTTAATTTTGAAGTAATGAAATTATTTCCTATTGTATTAATTTATTATTAAAGACTTTAATTAAATTATTATTGATAATTTTTAATTATATAAATTGGACCCAGTTATGCAAAAAACAGCCATGTGCTTAAAAGTACCAACAGAGTTATAAGCATTTTTCTGTCGATAGTTGCACTTGGGTTATGTTTTGTTTTTCTGGTTATTTTAAAATTGAACAATATTTATATAAGTATTGTTTATTTTTTATAATTATTTTATTTTTATAATAAAATGCTTATAACTCTGTTGGTACTTTTACGCACTGGGTCCAATTATTTTCTTATGTATAATTTAAAGACCTACTAAACCAGCTTATTATAATATATCTTGACCCCGATACATTTTTATTAAGTATATACGAGTACTATGCTAAGTACACAATATGTTAGTGTTACTAATGACACGTGTCGTGCAATATAAATAGATGTCATAGATTATAGGAGCAATTAACATTAATTAAGATTAATTTAACATTCGACGTCGAGGTTGGTCAAACGGTACAGTTACTAAAGTGGAATCATCAGAGTAAATGGCAAATGGAATTTATTTTCTTTACTATTTATAATATTATAACTGAGAAAGTGATTCTGCCTGTCTGTGTGTTACGTTTTCACGCCTAAACCGCTAAACAAATTTTGATATTGAGATTGATTGAAAATTGGAGCACGGAGGAAGCGGAGGAAGGCTACTTTTGGTCGCAAAAATGAAAGTTAAAAGGGGTGTCCCGGGCAAAACTAGTATTCTTATACACTACAATAACACGTATATATTCTCTGTTTGGATGTGTGTGCAGTTATTATTCCATAACTTATTGAATATATTTTAAAAAATATAGATTTAGTTGATTTTTTTAGAAATTTGAAAAAAGTAAGTAGTTTGGGTAAAGTAACCAAATTCAACACAACAACACACATGGGATAGTACCCATAATTATACTACAGGGACCTGTATAGTAATTAGGACTGATATGTTACCTAATTTTTATACATAGATTTTAAATTTTCAGGCTAATTTATACAAATATTTTAAAGAGGTAAAATTTATGAGATTGTGAATTTGTGACATTGTAGGGGTTATCTCTGGATCTACTGAACCGATTTAGATGAAATTTAGTAAGAAGATAGTTTGAGACCCTGGAAAGGACATAGGATACTTTTTATCCCGGAAATCATTCCTTAAGGGGGTGAAAATGGGGATGAAAGTTTGTATGGAGAATCAAGCTAGGGACAAACCCGAGCGAAGCAAGGGTCAGTCGCTAGTATCATATACATTCATTTGTTAAAGAGATCTTTTATTTAAATTGTTTCACTTTTATATTCAATCAGACTATAGTTTATTTGATGGATACCTTTTATCTGATGATTTAAAAATATGTCCTACACAAATCATTTTAATCTGCACCATACTTTATTTTCAAAATACACAGTCGTGATAAATAACGCCTTATTAAAAGTAACAAATAAAATATGTACTCTTTAAAATATAATCCATATTAATATTATAAATAAATATGTCGATTACCTTTATATGCTGCGTGTTTTTTATGGTGTTTTTAATCGCTGAACAGATTTCGATGAGATTGAAAAATATAGAATGCATCATGAGCACGGATATAGGTTATTTTCCCCGTCCACGTACTATGCGAGTGAAGCCAGAACTAGTACTTTTATATGTTGTTTTGTTACAGATTATGAAGGCCCGTGTCACAGCCTCGTTCAGGCGCTATGTGGAGTGTGGGAGTATTCCTTTTCACTCAGATAGTTGTTTGTCAATTCACTACAGGTATACCTATTTTTTTATATCTAACCTAGTAGTTTGTACTTAGGTCTATGTACACCTAGGTTTATAAAAACGTCGACGATGTGCATATCAGAAACGTATATCGTCTGCATGTACTTGTCTGTGCTAGATAAGCTTAAAAGAACCTATGCGCACTACGTTTCATAAGATAAAAAAACATAAAAAATGTCGATCGCTTGCGTTTGTATAAGTAAATACAAACGCGTGACAATCGCGCGTTGATAGTGCGTTGAAAATCGTGGTGTGTATAGACCCTTGTAGCATGAACAATAACGCAGGTTCGATACCTGCTCGGTACAACATAATATAGTTATCTAAATTTTTTAACTTTTATGGTCGCTGACAATATTAATATGATTTAAAATGGGATATTTAGCATTTTTAACATTTACATTTGAGAGTTACCGAATTTCGGCACTGTTACAAGGGCCATGGTCACGGATATACTACTGTACAACTCGACAATTTACTAATATTATTAATAATATATGAAAGTTTAGACGGATATTTGGATGTTTGGATGCTTGATACTCAATCACGCCAGAACGGCTGAACGGATCTATATGAAATTTGACACAGCGATTATAGTCTGGAATAGCACATAGGAATTATTCCGGAAAAATATATGGTCCCCGTTGGATAGATTTATTTCTAAATACGAGAACTTCAACCAGCAGGACGGGTTTCAATTGTCGAGTACTTGGAATCCACTGGTTAAACTATGTCAGCTCCGTAAAAGTATGAGAAGAAGTACGCGAGTAGATACAGTAAGTTCGAGAGTGTCGAGACTCGAATCTATGTGACAGTGGTAGTGGTAACGAACGTACAAAATGAACAAGAAAGTGAATAGATAGATATGTCTGTCAATAAAAAGTTTAAAAACCCCCCGCAAAGTATGTAGTATACCCGTGGCACATGGTACTAGTGCCGAAATATCGGGAACTCTCAAAAGTAAACTAAACATGGTAAGGCACGAGTTTAGTATAGCATACTAAACTGCAGCCCATGGTAAATATCCCGTTTAACGTCATAATAATATTGTTAACAAAATTTTAACTACACAGAAAACACAACAACAACAGAAGAAGACCACACAGTTACACCTTTCTACGCACTAAGCACAGGGGTTGTACCTGCGCCCGTGATGCTTCGTCTGGGCAACTCTACTATCGATAGTACTAAATCATTTAAAGTTCCGCAACCATCAAAAGAACCTGATTCAGGAACCCGAGCTGCTCCTAATGTAAACCTAGATATGGTACCACACGTTGTAGCAGTTAAAAATATATACTTTGACCACGACAGAAAATATGGACCGACTTTCGAAGATACTCCAGATGGCAACCTAACTAAAATAACGATACAACTAGGTGAAGACGCGCACCTAAATTGTAGAATTAGCCTCCTTCAAGACAAAACGGTAAGTTAACATATTCTCAAGTAAAAAACCTGCAAAAAATACTCTGCAGTCTACAATAGAATTTTATAAAACAAAAAAGTATAATAATTTCAGAAATATTTCAAGTACACGTTTTTTTGCAGAATATAAAGCTATGGTAGACATGATCTATGACTCAGTGATGTGTTTTGTTTATTTTTTTTTCATTGCTAATATTAGGCTTAGTTAGAAAAAAAATATGTTGGGACATAAACACACAGCACCATCTAGTTCCATGGTAAGCTACGAAGCTTGTGTTATGGATACCAGATAGTTGATACACTACATATATATAACTTTAAATACATACATATTATAAATATAAACCCCCATGATTGGAATATAAACATTCGTGCTCATCACACAAATGAATGCCCCCAGCGGGATTCGATCCCGCAACCGCTGGCATAGCAAGTAGGGTTACTACACACTGAGACAAACGTGTCGTCAGTAGAGAATCTTTCAAAAATGAGTATTTTGGAGTGTATTATTTTAGTAAAGGCAAATCCTTAGACTATTTAAATATCGAAAGTTTTTGTAAATTTAGTAATTTAAAAACCCTGACAATAAAAAAGAACAATACATCTTAACTTTCGAGAAACTTCAGGTCATTTTTTGTTCTGCGATAATTTAAGATTGCTGTAAGTTTTCTCATTTCACTTTTTTAAAGTAAAAATAAGAAACCATGTAAATGCTACTGAGTAGTTGTACTCATGCGCAAATCCAAGTTACACTTGACCGGCTTCTTTTGTTTCCCCAAAAACACAGCGGCGTCTATTTATAAAATAAACTTACAGTGGTGGCTTGGAACTTTTATTTTCGTACTTAATTTTCTTAATAAAAAAGATAGACGATGTTTTATACTATTTATTTGTGGCTTCCTTCGTTTTTGGGTAGTTTAACTAAATGAGTGATAGTGGGTTTGATTCCTACATCGGTTACATACTCATTTTATTTATTTTTCAGGAAGTATTCAAATTAGGTGTATGTTTTTTGTGTGTTACGTTATACATTCGCCCTTTGTGTACTTAATTTCTTTTTTTTTAAATAAATAACTTATTCGTCAATGTAAGGGATAGAAGATCCAACAACCAATTGAAAACTTTTACTACACAGTAATTATTTTTATCATACATTTTTATTGACCTAATTAACATATAGCGTTGGCAATCACTAATTACCACGTAACGCTTTAAATAATTTAAAATGTAACAATATAATGAGATGTTACGTTTAAAAATGTTTTTGTGCCTTACAAAATTTATTTCCAAAGCTAGCTCAATATATGAAGACATTATCAAATTAAGTTTATGACTTAAAAAGCTTTATGAAAGTTCTTGCAAAGTAACAGTAATAAAGCACTTAATTCTAATCATTGTTGTAATTTAGATACCAGTGACATATACCAGTATATTCTTTTGACAAAATATCTTTCAATTTATATTTTCCTTTAACTAAATGAAAATGTGTACAAAGAGAAAGCTCGAGAATACTTTAGTCTGATTTATAGCTTATTAAATTTATAAATAGATAGTACTGAGATTACTTGTGTAGTCTTATTAATATTAATTATTCTGTTGTTTAATGAGTTTTAACAAATGATAATAACCTTACTTATAATTTTTAAACAACTTTGTTGTTTGGCTAATTAAAGTCATGGCACTTGAGTGAGTAAATGATAATATATTTGTTTTTATTTGTTTGAAATTCAGTATAGAGATAGCTTTAAATCTTAGATTTAAATCCAGGTCGTAGTCCATATAAATACTAATTGTCATTCTAACTTCTCCAGCCACTTCAGCGTGAAGAAGTAACATGCTTCAAGTAACACGTCCATACTTTACTAATATTATAAACGTGTTTGCGGATTGGCGTGATTGTTGTATGGAGATAGTTGGAGGGCTAGAGAGTGACATAGGCTTTTTACCACGAAAGATTATCTAATTCCCACAGGAAACCACGTTATAATACAATCCAAAAAAATATTTATCCTCAGAATTACTTGAAACTTAATATTAATGCTCTTCAATATAATAGCAAGTTTCGAAATTCATCAAGGCGGGTAAAATAATTGATAAAATTTTGTATGAGATTTTTTTGTACAATTTTGTATGAGATTGTTTTATTAGGGTGAGTAAAACCACGGGTTTTGCTAGTAGATATATAAATGCGATATGTTATTACAGTAATTTCAGATAAGTTAATCAAACATTTGTGCCGACCTGAATTTTATTAAATAAGTATACAAGTATTTTACAAAAACCTGTTAGATAATAATGATCATGTTTTTAACTTATTTCCAAGCTTGGGTTTACTCCATTATTATTGTTACTGAAAATGCTAACATTAAGACATTGAAACGGCGATAAAAAGCTTCATTGTTTGATCCTCACCGATAACTACCAAAATTGTTACAGCTTCCATGTAAAATTGGCCAAAATAGAATTCTGGGGTTAAATTACAAAAGATTCCTTTAATATATTTTCGTTTTACTTCTGATAAGATATTGTTTAAGAACACAATACGGTTTTTACTCCGGCTTTATAACGAGCTGAATAATTCCGATGTGGATTTATTAGGGTAGAGCAAAAGAAAATGTAAGCGCCAACCAAAGTGTAGTCAGAAATAATTAATGATTTTCATTCCCTTCCTGTCTCTTAATCGTGTTTGTGAATAAAATTTTAAGGGCGTCTAATTTTAATAGGAGTCGATTTCGATTTATATTGGAGTTGTTGTTAATAGAATAATAAAAATAAATTGGTGTTTTAGTTATAAAAGATTTATTTTTATTATAGGGAGAATATTTATTACTATGCTTTGCTACTTTAAAAAGTAGTGTTATAATATAATTGAATTATATGTATAATAAAATGTAAATGAAAGATAATTAATTACTATAACCTCAAGTGAATTTAAACTAGTCACCAGCCTCCATTTTGTCCAAACCCTAAATAATACCTCTAGCACAATGTTCAGAAATTAAATTTACATTATAACAGTCTCTGAAAACTACTCAATTTTTAATGATAATATTATATACCTTAAAGCACTCTTTAGTACGAAACTACAAAAAATCCATATCGGGCCTTTACTTAATTGCTAAAATGATAACTCAATAAACATTGTGTAATTTATGATATATAATTATTGAAGTATGAAAATCCATTCATAACTGGCGTTTGTATTACATAAGAATGACATAATATAAAGCAAATAACATAAGCCAATAAAAACACCCATCATTTATTACCTTTTTTAAATCCAGTCCAAAATATAGTGTTGTTGATTAAATAAAAGAAAGATAAAAAAATGTTTGATTTTTTAGGTATCTTGGGTACGACGAAGAGGTCGAGAGGATATTCCAGAACTTCTCACAGTAGGAGCAGTCACTTATGCAGCAGATAACAGGGTATCAGTTGGTAAAAGATACCCAGGAAATTGGAGACTACTTATCAGGGAAGTTAAACCTGATGATGAAGGGGTTTACGAATGCCAGATATCGACACATCCTCCTAGAGTGAGCAGAACTTATCTGCACGTGAATAGTAAGTAAAGTTTGAATTAAATTAATTTTTATCTTAAGATAATATTAATAAACCATTATAATACGTGTATACCCTGCCCATGTACTTGTATATTTAACAATTCCCAAATAGTAAATATTAAATTGTGGAAGAAAATTACACTATATGTAAGTAGGTACTGAAATAAAAATAGTTTTTACCTTATTATGAAACGAGTCACTTCGTTGTTTTGGGAAAATATCAATTTCTAATAAAAAATCACTGTTGTTCCTAATCCTATCCATACTTCCATACTAATAATATAAATGTGAAAACTTGTGAGGATGGATGTTTGTTACTCTTTCACGCCAGAATGCCTGATCTGGATCTGAATGAAAGGTACAGAGATAGATTATAGTCTGGAATACCACAAAGGTTACTTTTTATCCCTGAAAATTATACGGCTCCCGTGGGATAGGTTTGCTTTTGTTTTTTCCTAATAAATCTAAATATTATGTTGTGTATACATTAAAATTAGTCTCACATCTTTATTTTCCTTATAACTTTTATATGTACAAATGGAAGAAATGCTATTAATATCATTACAACTATTTAAAAATTTTATTTTATTAGCACCACAAGTGTGGGTGGTCGATGAAGCTGGTGGTCCTCTTCAGGAAAAATATTATGAAGCGGAGTCAACACTTGCACTAGTCTGTAGAGCTCGCCATGTAGACACTCCCGCAGTACTCACTTGGCTCCACGAGGGCAGAGCACTCAATGCTGACACGACGAGAGGTGGAATTAGGTTTGTTTTATAATTTATACATTTATAATTATAATAAGAATTCGCCCTTTTTAAATTAGCATGATACGGACCTATTTTCAATGCGACAGGACAGAGTGAGTTGGCCAAATGTGAGTTGGTGAATTTTACACGTCTTTTTGCAAACACGTAGGTTTGGTTTGGTTTTATGTTTCCTCACAATATTTTTCTTCACCGTTTCATCTGTATATCCAAGATCAAATTCAAAATATTTTATTCAGCATTAAATTATTACAATTTTTTACTGAACGTCATGAGTCTATACCAGTTCGGAAAGAAGAAGCCTCAGACCTGAGAAGAACTGGCGAAAGAAACTCAGCGGGACTAATATTATTTCATTAATTTTTTTTATAAAGTTAAATTATAAATTACAATATTTCTATAAAATTGAAGTAGCCTGGAGGCGATCACTTCATTTCCAAGGCGTGCCATCTTCTATAAAATCATTAATTGTATAATAGCCTTTAGCACACAAACGTTCTTTAACTATTCTTTTGAACTTGCCGATAGAAACTTTTTGAACGATAGAAGCTTTTTGAAGTTTTAAATGCTGTTAATACCTGACTATTTTTAATTGAAATATGTATGTAAAAATAATAAGCTAATTACCGGAAAATCAGTTTAATGTAGCTATCAATTAAAACACGCTTTTTATCTTTCTTTTTTTAATCTATTTTTTTTTATAATTAAGTCAAATATTAATAAGTAATGCCAACACTCTAAAATAAATTTGAACCTGCACTAGCAAATATAAAGGAAAATACCTTAAAGTAACAGCTAACCTAGTTTGAAAAGGCAAATCTGTTTATGCCGGATTTCTGTTCAATGTGTTCCAACGGTGATAGATGATCCGCATTCACCCCTCAAAAGAAGCTAAATATATTTATATATTACCAGGTACTTTGACGCGATATGACACCGCTAAACCTTTTTGCACGTGTACAGAATAGATTAGATTATAAATAAATAATGGTTTCATGACTGTTTTACGAACATCAACACGACACCTCATATATTACGCTTCTCAACTGCGTATATATATATATGTATGTGTATATATATATATATATATTATGATTATGTACATAATGTATGAAATCTTAGATGTAGCTCCCAATGATACAATAATTTTCCGGAAGTCTGTAATTTGATTTGCTTATAAATATTACTTCTTGAAGTGAAAACTTCTATAGGCAGGTTGGATGGGGAGTAAATTCATGTAAATAGTCATCGACATGGTCACGTGACGTGTTAAAGCTAACACTCAGAGTGCCGATATATGTCAAAACCAGATAAATGTAAACAGTTTTAATTTGCAAATTTTAATTTAAGATCAAACAATTTATGTATTTGAATATCCAAAAATAACAACTGTTTGTTTATAGTTTTAAATTTTCACTTCTGTCGGCAGTCCTTATGACTGCTTTTTTTTAATGCACTTAAATGAAAATAAAAACAGTTGGACTCTAGAAGAGACTTCTTCAATCAACCTATTCAGTGATAACTAGTGTCATTTTGTTGGGTAAAATCATGCAGTTATAATGAAGTAAATAATATACAGATCCTCAAATATAAATATTTAAATAAATATTATATACTCTATACCATAGCATATATACGTAATATGAACACACTACTACATACACAAATATATATGTGTCTATATAACACATATTAATAGTAATTAACATAATTGTGGATTAACTTGGGTGAGAAAGTGAGAAACCGATGTTAATCTTTTTAAAAATATAATTAGAAATTTCGTATATACTCATTATACATCAATCAATTTCGATATCATAAAAATAACACATTTCTAATGCTTTCATTTACATTAGTATTATTATTCTTTTTTGTATGGTGTTATAAAAATAAGGTCATTTCACACAATCTTAAGCTCAAGTCCATTCAATAACACAGTCTTAGTATAGTTATTATAATGAGAATATTTTTTTTAATTATTATTCTATTCACAGTGTTAAAACAGAGCAAGTACCGGGTGGTGCTGACAGCGTGCTGAGGTTAGCACGCGTTAACAGCAGTGACGCGGGCAACTATACCTGCGCGGTGCGAGGAGCAAAGCCTCACACAGTATCGGTTCATGTATTAAACGGTAATTATTACTTCTATTAACATTAATAATATATTAATTATAATGGTATTATTGTAAAATAGCTATTTGCTGAAGTTCTTTCTTGATTGCTGAACTTTAGCAACGTAAACTTTTGGTAATTTTGTTTTCTAGTTGAGGTAATTAAATGGAAATCAGAATAAAAGTATAATTTTAATCATAAAATGTTTGAAATTTTTTGATAAAATAACATAAAATAGATAGGTAAAAATCCCATTGATAATAATAATTTGACTTTTTATAATTTAATACGGACTAAAATATATTTAATTGTTTCTAAAGTCATAATTTATTACCATCAAGTCTATATTAATAATTATATATTTATTACTTATACCTAGTATTTTTTGCTTTACAAGACACGTAAGTTTACTAAAGACTACGAAATCGCAAATATGTCTAGAAATTTAAATCTATTTATATATTTTCGAAGTACATATTCAAAAAAGAACTAAAAAATACTGTCAGTCTCAGCTTATATAGTTTAGTGTAATATAATGCAGTAAACTTTGAAATAAACAACATCGGCAGGGATTAATAGGAATCTGTTCCAATAACTTAATGAAGTGTTCATATTCAAAACTAACAAATCATTAGCTTTGACAAATATTCATGTTAGATTCTAATTTTATTGAGCTTCATTAGTTAGTGTGGTTATTAAATTATATTTTAATTAATCAATATATAAATTTAGATTTCATTTGTTGGTAATAATTCCGATAATCTAATTTATCTATATGTAGAATCTAAGTATCTATATGGCAAAGGTTTTAAAAATTGCCTCGTTTCTTAAAAACACTTCATCTATGATATTAACATAATATTCCAACTTTATTTGAAGTCGTGTTTAAGAATTTAATTTTACTTCTAGGTAAAAATTCGATAAATTATACGATAGAAAGCTATAAATAATTTTATTTTGTATAACTATTAAACTTCCGATGTAAAAGTTTACATGTAAATTTATTCAATGTCGATATCATCCTACTAATATTATTAGTATAAGTTTGTGAGGATGTATGGATGTTTGGATGTATAGATGTTTGTTACTCATTCATGCAAAAACTAATGAATGACACTTTACAATAATATAGCCCATACATCATAATAACACATAAGCTTCTTTTTATCCCGGAAAATGTACAGTTCCCGTGGGATAGATTTGTTTTTGTCTTTCTATCTATTATTATCTGATGATATCTTCTATATATTGTTAAGGAATATTAAGTTGTCATAAATGAATAGAAATTTTATTTGCAGCGTAAACAAAAAGTACTGGAAAGTATAAGCATCACCTACGTGCACTGAAAAGCTAATATTATGAAGCTGAAAAGTTCGAGCTTACAATAACACAAAAGTTGTTTCTGGAAAGTTTTAATATGAATAGGAAACAAGTAACTTTAAATTGATCCCACTCTATAACTACTGCAAATTGCTATAATAACCTATTGTTTCAGAAATAAAGTTTTTTTTCATTTTAACCAATTTAAAAAGTTTTAATTTAAAGTTTATTACTTTTTTATGTTTTATTTACGAAAATTAATTGAATAGTCTATTTCTTTTCGATGGTGGGTATTTTTGTTCAGATGTAGACAAGATATATATTTAAAAAGTTGAGCTTGTATATATATATATATATATTAAAAAAAAACTCACAATTATTTAAAATTAATTTACCCGTAAGCCGTATATTTACAAGCACACAATACGATATCCAATTTCTGTTAAAATTTACTTGAAGCTATGCGATAAAAGTACAATATATGTTTGTGAAAAATGTTCATTATCTACCAAGATTCAATAATATTATAGAAGACCCTTCAAGCAAAGGAAATATATTGAGATAGAAAATTAATACCTTCAGATGCAAGCTTCTTATCTTAATCTTTGCATAAAATATAAGTAAAATGATCTTTAAAATATTTAGTAACGAAAAAACTTACAAACTCAAAAATATTTCAATCTTTTTTTTAGAGTAGTTGACGACACGTTTGGCTCAGTTTGTAGTGACCCTACTTCCTGTATCAGCGGCCGCGGGTTCGAGTCCCGCTAGGTGAACAAAATAAAACAATTTTTTTTCTTCCACACTAATATATAAGTGCTTATGATACCTACATTCATTAGCACACCCATAGTAAGAAACTTGTCTATCTATAATATGAAATTGAATCGCTGAATGTGTTGGTAAGCGCAAATCTCGAGATTAGCTGAACCGATTTCGCTAATACTTTTTTTAGGATATTCCTTGAAGTACGAGGCTGGTTCTTACGGAGAGAACAATTTAAAAAATTGCCTGAAAAAGTTTAAAAACAACACTTTTCTATACTCCCATACAAAAGATTCGTAATAATACTTAAAAGTCAATTTTAACTAAATACCATACCCTAAAGTTTAAGTGTTAGTGGAGAGGTTCCGGGAAGGCAAAACAATTGAGTGACGTTAGTATCGTATAAATAAATATTAATGTCAATATTTGTCAATATATTAACAAAAAAAAAAAATTTATATGGCTAACGCTGGCTAATAACTATTTATATCTATTTAAAACGTACCTAGCGATGAACCCGCGAAACGAGGGTGAGCCGCTAGTTAACAAACGACAAAGATTTTAAAGTTTCCTCATAAACGCTCATCCAGATATTAGAAATATGTGCGTCTTTTTCTTGCACAATATTCTAAATGTAAAAAGTTCTATACAAATTGTATCCATTAACTGTTACGATGTTATCAAGTCGTACGTTTCGTCGTAATGTATGATGATGTATACGTGACGCGATATAAAAAGGGAAACAATACGAAAACCTTACATTTTGAAAGGCCTTTTCCTAAAAAATATATAATTTTATACTTAAACGTCATAAAATATATTAACATAGTTGCTTCAAGATGAGTGTTACCGTATATTATCTATACATATAATAAAATTGTAACTAAGCCGAATCTGTACAATAAATATTTTTTGGAAAATCTTACTGTAATAGACATTATTATCGATACGGAGGCCGAATCTATAGTTTTTAGAATGTTTGTCTGTCTGTCTGTCTGTCTGTCTGTTACCGCATCACGGGAAAACCACTGGAGGGATTTTGATGAAATTTGGTATGGTGATAGCTGGTCATCCGGGTCAACATATAGGATACTTTTTACCGCGGGAAAGTATCTCATTTCTGAGAAAAATACAAAAACTGCAATGTAAGAGTACACTAATATGTAAAACCTAAGAATTTGATTTTTGTCCATCTGAACGCGGGCGGAGCCGCGGGAAATGCTAGTAAATAAATAAATATGTTAAATATTAATAATATGAAGCACTAAAATTAAAATTTTGTTTCAGAGAGCCTAGCGGAACTGCATGCTGGAGCATCTTCGTCTTATGCATCATTGAAAACTATCACGGTTTTATTCGTGGTCACGTTTTTCACTTCGCAATATACTTTTTTACGTGGTACAATCTCATTGGCGGTGTTAGCCCTTAGTTTTAAGCTTACAGTCGAAGTAACTGAACGACAAAACGTAATACTGTTGCCTACGTGATAAGAACATGTAAATAAATGATTTTAAAAAGATACTTATTATATATAGAAACTTGAAAAATAAAATTTCATTATATATATTTATTTGTTTTATTTCTCACTTCTACTTTTGCTTGTTGAGTATATTTGTGTTGGTACGTGAAATGTTTTTCGAAAATTTTATATTGGAATACGTTTAACATCGTCAAAATATTATAGAATATATTTAAAAATACGTTTGAGGCTTTAAGGCAGACACTTTAAATAAAAATAAAAGTTATAAATATAGACTTAGTAGTCACGTTTGTTGTAAAGCTTAAATTATAAGCAACAGTGGAAACAAAAGAATCAAAATAAAGATTGAAACCGCGATAAAATCTGCGATTATAGTTTTGTAATTTTTTTTATTGAGAAATTAACACACAGCACCATCTAGTTCCATGGTAAGCCACGAGGCTTGTGTTATGGATACCAGATAGTTGATACACTACACATATATAACTTTAAATACATACATAATATAAATATAAACACCCATGATTGCAGTACAAACATTCGTGCTCATAACACAAATGAATGCCCGCAGTGGGATTCGAACCCGCGACCGCTGGCACAGCAAGTAAGGTCACTACAAACTGAGCCAATCGTGTCGTCAATTATAAAGATAGATAGAAGAACAGTTTTGTAAAATATCAAATATTCGCGTGAATCTAAGAAAATATGACAAGAAAGAAAGAGATAGGAATATTAAAGGGATTTTGTAGAATTATTATGAACTAGCATTGCCCGCGGCTCCGCCCGCGTTCCAATGACCAAAAACCAAATTCTTAGGTTTTACATATTAGTATACTCTTACATTGCAGTTTTTGTATTTTTTTATAAAGGAGATATTTTCCCGCGATAAAAAGTATCCTATATGTTGACCCGGATAACCAGCTATCGCTATACCAAATTTCATCAAAATCCCTCCAGTGCTTTTTCCGTGATGCGGTAACAGACAGACAGACAAAAATTCTAAAAACTATTGTTTCGGCTTCTGTATCGAAAATAATGTCTATTTTAATAAGATTTTCCAAAAAATATTTAATGTACAGATTCGGCTTAGTTAGAATTTTATTATATGTATAGATTTTTTTGTTTGGCATATAGAGAAATAACCCTTAAATCTGGGTTTACTACGCTTGATGTTAAAGATTTGTTTTGCCAATGAGGTGATTGTTTCTATTTACACATTTGTCTACCATAATCTTTTTAAGGTACGAATAGTATAAAATTGGATAGTGAATTGGATTACTATCAATATATTTTGTTTTCTTTATCCAAACAAGGAAAAAACGTGAGTGCGTAAGAAAATATAAATTTTAATTTGATCATTGTTTTCACAAAAGAAACTAAGTGCCTCTAATATGAAAATTGTAATATATTTAATATTTTATTGTGCAATTTTTACAATTACAATTTTAATTAAGCACTATATTGAAATAAAAGCGTTTTTAAAAATTCTGTCTGTCTTTACAGCGAGTAGCGGCTTTGGCTTGGAATATTATAAGCTTTATTTTAATCTTTTTGATCTGTAAATCCTAAAAACCGTTCACATAGGAATAAATTATAGAAATAATATTAAGACCGCGTTAGACTACTAGACTAAACTCATCGCTTCGCTCGGGTTCGTCAATATTGTGTGGAAGTTTGGCCGACTTGTTTGACTTTTTTGATTACTGCTCCGCTCCCTTTGGTAGTAACATAATAATATATAGCCTATAGCCAGCCTATTCCTCAATAAACGGACTATCTAACACTAATAGTTTTTTTTTTAATTGGATTAATAGCGACTATGATAGTACTCCTGAGATTAACGCGTTTAAACAAACAAACGAACAAACTCTACCTCTTTATAATATTAGTATAGATTCAGTTAAGTACTGTTCGAAATATATATATATATGTGTCAAATATTTCAAAAGCTAATTTATGGCACAATTTTTTCTTCATAGTTAATTATATAACAAAGTTTTCCTGAAAGATACCAATTATTTTTATTTGTATGAAAACCTTCTTAATAATATATAATGTGAATTGTTATTAACTTGATTCTTATTAAAAGAGATTGCCCTTTTGAGAAGATTAGCATTGCCCGCGGCTCCGCCCGCGTTCAGATGACCAAAAACCAAATTGTTAGGTTTTACAGATTGGTACACCCTTATGTATTGCAGTTTTTGAATTTTTTCTCAGAAATGAGATATTTTGCCGCGGTAAAAAGTATCCTATATATTGAACCGAATAACCAGCTATCACCATACCAAATTTCATTAAAATCCCTCCAGTGGTTTTTCTGTGATGCGGTAACAGACAGACAGACAAAAATTCTAAAAAACTATAGATTCGGCCTCTGTATCGATAATAATGTTTATTTCAATAAGATTTTTCAACAAATATTTAATTTACAGATTCGGCTTAGTTAAAATTTGACTATATGTATATGTATAGAAAGGCTCATGTATTGTTTAGAATGTATAAAGTTTCGAAAAATAGAAAAGGTACTTTTAGGGTCGAATAGTAGAAATATGAATGAAATAATAATTAATTTTGCTTAAATTAAATTTTTTCGGCACTTTTGAACTTTTTGTATTTTTATAATTATCATTATTATTAGTTTATTGAGGATATGAAAGATTTTTTAATGATTGAAACATTACTTTCAGAATAAAACAGATCCAGACATAAAAGAAAGATTTATAAGACCTCAATTCTGATATTAGTCATAACGAAGTCTTAAGAATAAATATGTTATCTATACATATAATAAAATAATAAATTAGCCAAATCTGTACATAATTTTTTTTTTTTAAAACAATGACTGTAACGTATTGTGCACATAATATAGTACCCAAAACAATAGTTACTAAAATGCTTGTCTGTATGTCTGTTTGTCTGTAAGTGTGCAAAAAATGAAAAAGTCTACTATGTCTATATCCTAAGTTAAATTCTCAATAACTATATGTATTTAAAACGTACTTAGGGACGCACACGAGCGATGCGAGGGTAAGTCGCTAGTATTAAAAAAATAGAAGTACACAAAGCCAAGGAAAATAGCTTGCTACTGATCAAATAATATACCACGATCAATATATTAATATACTACTTAATTATATAATGTATTAATAAAGTAGCCAGAACTTGCCAACAGTTTATTCATATAATAGCTCCCTCAACGACCATCGTGTAGCCCTAAAATAAATAACAAATAATGAATCTTGAGTATATTACAGCCATTAAGTTAATACATTTTAAATAACCTTGCTTCGGCCATAATATAAAATTTGATCGCGAATTTACGTTTTATTTTATATAAATAATTAAATCGTTTATACGGTAACTTTAAATCGTTAAACTTTAACGGCAATCTGCATCGAGATTATAATTTTTAATATAAAATTTTAAATTCGTAACAGAATATTTCTAATTATCCCATAAAATATACTACTTAGTGCAGAATAAGATCAGATCACGTACGTTAATAGTGAAAAATTAATTTTCCACACACCTTTTTTTTGGTTTGTATCTATTAACGAGCTTAAGTTTTGATAAAAAAAATTGGAATCAGTTAGATTTTCTTGTAATATAAGCAGCATTATAATTATGGGCGAATTTCAATCACTGGGCGAAGAGTAGTACGTATAATTTATTGTCATATTTTTCTAATATCCTAATAAATGTTATGCGTATAATTATACCTATGGAAGAACTTCCATATCTACCTTAAAAAGAATTGAAACTGGCCGTATCTATAAAACTGTCTCAAAGCCATGTAAAACATATAATCTTACCAATATTATAAATGTGAATCAATCATGCCAGAAGGGCTGAATAGATCTGGATGAAATTTGGCACAGAGATAGATTATAGACTGGAATAGCACATATCCCGAAAAAATGTATGGTTCCCATGGGATAGATTTGTTTTTGTGTTTCTAGAGGTAAACCCGCTCGAAGCGAGGGTAAGCTGCTAGTATATATATAATACTAGCAACTCACACTCGCTTCGCTCGGGTTCGTCCCTAGCTTGATTCAAAATACAAACTTTCATCCCCATTTTCATCCTCTTAAGGGATGATTTCCGGGATAAAAAGTATTCTATGTCCTTCCCAGGGTCTCAAACTATCTTCTTACAAAATTCATCTAAATCGGTTCGATAGATCCAGAGATTATCCCCTACAACGTCACAAACTCACAATCTCACAAACTTTACCTTATACCGTTGGTTATAAATGTTAAACATATTACCTCGACTATTTGAAGTCGGTTAATAATACGACTGAGTAAATTAAAAAGTTAATGAATTTAAGCTAATACTAAGACAAAGAACAGCGGAAAAAGTATAAAGAATTTTTGAATTGCTGCATTTCCCACTATGAAGTTTCTCTTCTGTTGACATAAAACTGGTGACTTATTCTCGCCTCTAAGTACCTTTTACATTTACTTGTATAAGTAACTCTTACGAACCGCCCTCACTTTGCTTAGATTCAATGACTTGATTAAAATTTAATATACGTACATCAACGTTTCTTTGCTTTCTATAAATATATCTCATGTACAAATATTATAAATCTAAATCTTCCGTAAACAATATCAAAATTTATTGTATAATTTACAACAATAATTAAGCATAAAACCAAACACTTTATTTGATACTGCTTAGTGAAGCGTGTAAATAAAATGAGAACGATTAAATATGTTTATGCTTAAATGAATTCAAACTTTGTCTTTGTGTTTAATGTTTAACAAGGCAACAGAAATAAACTGAAAATTTGCAAAATAAAATTTAGGTTAATTTCGATTTACATAATATTAAGGCGAAGCGTGGATAGGCGCGGCCCACAAAGCCCGACGACTTCAAAGTCGCTGGAACCTACTGGATCTGGATGGCATAACACTGGCAATCGTGGAAATCTGTGGGGTATGCCTATGTCCAGCAAGGGATGTGTTTCAGATGAGACGAGGAATTACTGTAATAATAATA